GTCTTCCATGGCATGCGTAGGATATATGAGATGCTGTGTAAATTGTCTCAGTATTGTGGAATAGGCCATGGAAGACAAGAAGAGTCTTAGTATAAAGTTCCTAGTTTTTCTAGATGTCTTTTAAGCTAGGTCCATGGGCTGCAAATAAAATCTTGTGAGACTGACAGACCAGTCAACTTGTATGACCCATAACAATTTAACAGGAGGCATTACAATTGTAATCAAGACAATTTACTTGAATGTGAATTTCAAAGAGATGTACTAGCCTAACAATCATTAACTCATTAATGTATAGTAATAGAACTCGAGGGTAGATGTTAAGTGTATTTGTCTGTGTTTACAGGTTGGACCTCCCTTATCTGGCACCCTTGGGACTTGAGCTGTCCCAAACCAGGGAGTTTGCCGGACCAGGGGAAGTCAGTGCTTCCCTGCTGGTTGTCTTCCCCCCAGCTTCCCTGGGGCACCCTGTCCTTCTGCTGGGCCCTCTAATGCTGGCCCAACACAGGTTCATCACCCTGCTGCCTGCCCGCTGTCCCATGGTTCCCCTGCTGTCGCTAGGGATTTCCTTGGGCTCCCCAGCTGGGACCGCCCAGCTCCGCCAGCCCTGCTTCAGTGGGGGAAGGAGGTTCCCTGGGTCATGCTGGACCTGCTGCCAAAGGGAGTTCCTGAGGTTCCCCAGCAGGGCTGCCTACCGCTGGCAGCCTCAATGCAGCTGGGAGTTCGCCAGCTTGGGCTGGGACACCCCAGCCATCTAGCCCAGCTGACGCCAGGTTTCCACAGTGGGTGCGGGGGCTCCTTGGCCAGTACCTGGCTCTGTTGATTCTGGGGGTTGTACAGCCAGGGTGGGGGTTCCCCAGCTGCTGTCTGGCCCAGCTTGGGCTCCCCAGTCCCCTGCTTTTCAGCTGGTTCCTGCTCCCGCCTCCAGGGCTCTTTGGTCCAGCAGCATCCATGGCCCTGCCGGACCATGGATGTTGCTGAACCAGAGAATCCTGGATATGACAGGTTCAACCTGTACTAATATCCTGTTAGAAGTTTGACAGTGTAACTAAATTAGGGTATGTCTACACTACCCTCCTAATTCGAACTAGGAGGGTAATGTAGGCATACCGCACTTACAAATGAAGCCCAGGATTTGAATTTCCTGGGCTTCATTTGCATAAGCCGGGCGCCGCCATTTTTAAATCCCGGCTAGTTCGAACCCCGTGCAGCGCGGCTACATGGGGCACGAACTAGGTAGTTCGAACTAGGCTTCCTAGTTCGAACTACTGTTACTCCTCGTGAAATGAGGAGTAACGGTAGTTCGAACTAGGAAGCCTAGTTCGAACTACCTAGTTCGTGCCCCGTGTAGCCGCGCTGCACGGGGTTCGAACCAGCGGGGATTTAAAAATGGCGGGTCCCCGCTTATGCAAATGAAGCCCAGGAAATTCAAATCCCGGGCTTCATTTGCAAGTGTGGTATGCCTACATTACCCCGCTAGTGGCGGCTCCCCGCTTATGCAAATGAAGCCTGGGAAATTCAAATCCCGGGCTTCATTTGCAAGTCCGGTATGCCTACATTACCCCGCTAGTTCGAACTAGCGGGGTAGTGTAGACATACCCTTAGTTTGAAGATACCAATTCCCTTTCATGTTTTAATTGCCTTAGTAGTAGTAGTATATTTTCCACATCTTTGACCTTAAAGTTAACTGAACCATTTGTATACATAGTATATCTACATTGTCTTCAGCTTAATTCTGCTATGGTATAACAGAGGACCAGCAAATTGCCTTATGTGAATGAGTGTAACTAGTTTATCAGTGAATGTATAGGAAACAGAAGATTAGCTTCAAAGCAAAGGTGATCTACATTGCCTATATTTTCTTAGGGGAAAACCCTGCTATGACATTTTATGTGAGAAGGCATCATCAGCGTGCTATAGAGCTATAAAAAAAAGAGTATCAGGCCAGATTCTATTGAACTTGGAACAGGGAAAGTTGATCCCCTAAGACTGATATTTTCTAAATCAGTGTTTCTTAAAGTGTTCTGCGAAATCTCTCTCAAAAACACATTAACTGGCTGCCCCAGTTTGTTTATTTACCAGCGCAGCAGCTCCCACTGGCTCCATTTGGTCCTTTGCAGTCAAGGGGAGCCGCGGGAAGTAGTGGCCAGGCCCACGCCGTTTCCCATGGCTTCCTTTGGCTTCAAAGGACGAAAGGGAGCCAATGGGAGCCGCGAGGCTCTGTGGCCGCAGTGCCGGTAAATAAACAAACCGGGGTGGCCAGTTAATGAGAGTGAATCTGCGGAACACTTCCAGAAACACTGTTCTAAATAGTTATTTGGAATAGTCTGAAAAATACACAGAATTGACTTAAAATCTAAACTGCCTGCAGATTCTGACTTGTTGGGATGATTCCAAAGATCAACGGCTCGATGTCAGGTTGGCGGTCAGTTTCTAGTGGAGTGCCCCAAGGATTGGTTCTAGGACAAGTTTTGTTCAACATCTTTATTAATGACCTGGATGAGGGGATGAATTACACCCTCAGCAAGTTTGCAGATGACACTAAGCTTGGGAGAGAGGTAGATATGTTGGAGGGCATGGATAGGATCCAGAGTGACCTACACAAATTGGAGGATTGGACCAAAAGAAATCTGATGAGGTTCAACAAGGACAAGTGTAGAGGCCTGCACTTGGGACGAAAGAATCCGAAGCATTGGTTCAGGCTGGGGACTGACTGGCTAAGTAGCAGTTCTGCAGAAAAGGACCTGGGGGTTACAGTGGATGAGAAGCTGGATATGACTCAACAGTGTGCCCCTGTAGCCAAGAAGGTTAATGGCATATTAGGTTTTATTAGGAAGAGCACTGCCAGAAGATCTAGAGAAGTGATTATTCCCCTTTATTCGGCTCCACGTCTGGAGTACTGTGTCCAGTTCTGGGCCCCCCACTATAAATAGGATGTGGACACATTGGAGAGGATCCAGTGGAGGGCGACCAAAATGATTAGCGGGCTGGAGCACGTGACCTATGAGGAGAGAGACTGAGGGATTTGGGTTTGTTTAGTCTGTAAGGGTATGTCTACACTTGCCCCCTAGTTGCAAATCAAGCGCAGGATTTAAATTTCCCGTGCTTGATTAGCATATTCGCGGCCGGTTGCCATTTTAAAATGCTGGTCGCCCGATGTAACTTGCCACATGTAAACGTGGTAGTCCGGTTTAAAACCCTTCCCTCAAATTAATTGGTACTCCTCATGCAATTTGAGGGAAGGGTTTTAAACCGGACTACTGAATCTACACGCGGCAAGTTACATCGGGCGACCGGCATTTTAAAATGGTGACCGTCCATGAATATATTAATCAAGTACGGGATAATTAAATCCTGCGCTTGATTTGCAACTTCAGTATGCTTCATTTGCCTCCCTACTTTGAAGTAGGGGGCAAGTGTAGACTTACCCTAACAGACTAATTCGACTACCCCCTCAAGCTCAGAGAAAGAGTGAGAGATAGATGCAGTGCAGCACTAAACCATAACAGAGCCCTGAACAGAGAAGACAAATGTTTTGCCTTTCCCAAACTAACCAAAAATAGGTGTTGTTTGCAGCAGGTTTTGGTACCTCCTCTATGCTTTTGCAGTACAAATTTTACTACAATGAACAAACAAGACACTTTCTATTCAGAGAGGTCTTGTGTGTGCATGTGTGTTTGTAAGAGTTGATTTAGTTGGGATTGGTCTTGTCTTGAGTAAGGGGCTGGACTTGATAGCCTCCTGAGGTCTCTTCCAGCTTTATGATTCTATGACTTTTATATACCAGCAGTTTTTTCTATCATCGCTAAGGTTCCTGAACTAAAACAAACACTGAATATCACTTGTACATATGTTTTTAAATAGCTTATCTTAAAGGTATAGATCCAACATTTTTTTTTGAAGTTGACGACACAGTTAGTATTAGTGGCAACATAACATGTTGCTTTGGGCATGCTATTGCTCAACACTGTTGAGGGGCGACAGGCCCTCAGAGGCTCCTCAATCTTATCCTCTTGACTGAGTGACCTAACAACCACTGAGTCTATTTATAGCCTCACAGCCTCAGCCAACATAACTGTCCCTGTATTCAGGGTACTATGGCCCAGCAGCCTTAGTCAATATAAATGCCCTTGTATTCAGGGTATTATGGCCCAGCCCAGCAGCCTCAGTCAATATAGGCACCCCTATATTCAGGGTATTATGGCCCTGCAGCCTCAATCAACATACACATCCTTACGTGTAGGATATTATGGCCCAGAGACATCAGTCAATATGTCCACCCCTAAATCCAGGGTATTATGACCCAGCAGCCTTAGCCAATATGTCCACCCCAGGATTCAGGGTATTATGGCCCAGTGGCCTCAGTCAATATACATAGGACAATCTCTCTCCGCATGGGGATATCTAAGGAGGGGGTAGAGGGACTCAGGCCCTCCCTCTCCACCAGTCCCAACCCAGGGCCCTGTTGTCAGTGGTGCAATCGATTGCCTGGTCAGTGGGGAATCCTGCTGCAACATGCTGAGTGCTCTGGGAGCAATTCTCCACCCTGGGCTACTTTCTACTGGCTTTTATCAGAAGTCTCCTCTATCCTCATGCTTGGGTCCTGCAACTTCTCTTGTAGCCCCTCTCAGTCTGGCTGCTGTTGTTTGGTCCAGCTGCACTTTTCCCCCTGGCCTCCTTCCTCTTCAGCAGCCAGCCCAGACTGAGATGCTCCAGAAGTCTTTATAGTCAGTCTCCAGTTGGAGCATGCTCAGCAGAGTTGTGGGAATAGTGCCCTCTCAGCCAGCTGGGCAAAAGTAACTCTGTCAGCTCCAGCACGGGGTTGATACACCCTGTCACAAACATGTTCTGACAATGTTGGAATAACTAAAGCAGACTTCTGGTCTATATATAGCAGACACGCTCTTTTGTGTGTTTAACTCTTAAACAAATAATTATTTCAGGGAACATAGCAGTGCTTTAAAAAGCTACCCATAAAAATACATAAAATACAATTATCATACCTCACTGTTTGAACTTTCAACAAATGACCCTCCAAACATAGCAGACATCCATTCACAGCTACAGATCAGCAGTGGCTTGTGGGCATTTATGCTTCCATCATCCAACTTAAATGTCACATCTGCCATGGAATCAAGGAACAATCGTAACTATAATACTCAGTGCTTGGAGTGAAATAGTAAGAGGCACATACTTATTAGTAAGGAAGTGCTTCCTGGATGTTTTTCAGAGTCTTTGATTTTATAGAGCTAAGCAGAGAAATTATGAAAGCTTCGACCTCAATGGGAGATGCTGGGTGCTCAACACATTTTAGAATCTGGCTCTTTATTTAACAGTCTAAATGTGGATTTTAAAAGCCTACCTTCAGGTTCCCATTGTTGAAAATGTTGGTCTTCAGTTATATAGCAAACTTTTGGCTCATTTCCCCCCTCACGCTGACATAAGTTAGGAATAACTATTGAAGTGGATGGAGTTACATTGGCATAAGTGAGAGGAAAAAATTGTGCCTTTTCTATGAGAGTTTATTTACTCACCAGAGAATGTCCCTTTGCAAAGACACTCTTTTATCCGGTTAGCTTTCCTGACATGAAATGCTTTGGTAATCTCTTGATTCATGAAAGCTTCTTTATTCATAATATTTTCCACCATCATGCGCAAGTCAAATACTTCCAAGATTTCAGCAATCTGTGCTAATCTTGTCAGATCCTTTTCATTTTCATCCAGTTGCCCAGCATATAGAAATTGTAAAACAGTTTTAAAAGGCCCAGGCTGAACAGAGGAATCCATCTTGACCACAGTTACAGGACATGTCCTATTCGATACAGGGTTGATTTGTATTTCTTTATGCATACTAACAAACCCTTTACCCAAGGAGGACAAAGCTCTCCGAGCAGAGCTACCTTCTTCAGTTTCAAGTTCTAACATCTTTGAAGTGCCATCACTTTCTGGTGTTGAAAGTTTGTCATTGGAAGTTTTTAAGGTTGCTAAGATTGCATCATCAATATCATCAACTGTTTCAAGATGACTTGTACTGGACAAGAAGTCCCTACTGGTCTTATCTGTACTACACTGTGTTTCACTGAAGTCTGGAGATTCTTCACATTCCAGTAAAAAAAGGTCATAAAACTTTGAAGAGGAGGTAGCTAGGTAAATCTTGTGAGCAAAAATATGATTCTGGTCTTGAAGAACAAACATGACATCTGCACACAGTGGATTGTCTAACAAATATCCAGACTCATTCATATTGGTTACAGGATTCTCTGGGATTTTAATAACTGGAGGGGGTGCCTTTGGAGGTAGGAATGGAGCCTGAAGTAAAGGTTTTTGGACCTTCTTTAAATGTGATTTCCAGAACTGCAGGTGTCTTCTGGATATTAATGCAGCTCTGATCGCATTATCAAAAACGTCCTTAATTCCAAACTGGTCAAACACACTAGTTTCATAATATGGTATCCCAAGCTCCTTGGCAACCTCTCTCCCTCTTTCTGGCGGTAAAATATCTCCTCTTTTTATAGGCCTAAGATTAAAATAAAACATAATTAGCAAAACAAACTTACTTCACACACAGAGCAGGGCTATCAATAACCACATTCCAAAAAAATCTGGAGCCATATTAGCCCATTCATAAAAACAAAAATGGCAGCCGGCATGGCTCATGGAGACCCTTAAAAATTTGGAATCATTGTACTAGTCACTTCAAAAATATTCCCCAAGAGATAGTTTGCACTTGGTAGACACTTTGTACTATAAACCTATCACTTAAAGATAGGAAGGTATTATTTCACAATAGGAAATGAACCTTCAACCTATTCACATTTATCTGAATTATGAACTGTTTAAAAATCACTGTTCCCTTTCTGTCACTTATTTCTGTTTCATAGAAACAGGTCCAGACTGCTAAAATAATAGCTGAACATGGACATTTTGAAAACTCAGGCTCATGCCCAAACCAGCAGCATATACACTGACTGCTTAAGAGCTGGCAGGGCAGCCACAGGAAAGATGGATAGGAAAAGAGAGAAGAAAGCTAGGCTTGGGTCCACTCCATCCTCTCCAGTGTTGAGAGTCTCTGGGTTAGGCTAAAAGTGGTTAAAAACAAGGGTGATGTCATGTTAGGAGTCTACTACAGGTCACTTACCCAGGTGGAAGAAGTGGATGAGGTTTTTTTTAAACAACTAACAATATCATCCAAAGCCCAAGATTTGGTGGTGATGGGGGACTTCAACTATCCAGATATATGTTGGGAAAATAACACAGCGGGGCACACACTATCCAATAAGTTCTTGGATTGCATTGGAGACAACTTTTTATTTCAGAAGGTTGAAAAAGCTACTAGGAGGGAAGCTGTTCTAGATTTGATCCTAACAAATAGGGAGGAACTGGTTGAGAATTTGAAAGTGGAAGGCAGCTTGGGTGAAAGTGATCATGAAATCATAGAGTTCACAATTCTAAGGAAGGGTAGAAGGGAGAACAGCAAAATAGAGACAATGGATTTTGGGAAGGCGGATTTTGGTAAGCTCAAAGAGCTGAAAGGTAAGGTCCCATGGGAATCAAGAGTGAGGGGAAAAACAACTGAGGAGAACTGGCAGTTTTTCAAAGGGACATCGTTAAGGGCCCAAAGCAAGCTATTCTGCTGTGTCGGAAAGATAGAAAACATGGCAAAAGACCGCCTTGGCTTAACCACGAGATCTTGCATGATCTAAAAATAAAAAAAAGAGTCATATAAAAATGGAAAGTAGGACAAATTACAAAGAATGAATATAGGCAAACAACACAGGAATGCAGGGGCAAGATTAGAAAGGCAAAGGCACAAAATGAGCTCAAACTAGCTACGGGAATAAAGGGGAACAAGAAGACTTTTTATAAATACATGAGAAGGATGAGGAAGACCAAGGACAGGGTAGGCCCACTGGTCAGTGAGGAGGGAGAAACAGTAACAGTAAATATTTCCAGTATACTTTAAAAGCGACGAGGAGTCCTGTGGCACCTTATAGACTAACTGAAGTGTAGGAGCATAAGCTTTCGTGGGCAAAGACCCACTTCGTCAGATGCATGTAGTGGAAATTTCCAGAGGCAGGAATAAATATGCAGGCCAGGATCAGGCTGGAGATGACCAGGTGGATCCAATCAAGGAGGATGAGGCCCACTTCTAGCAGCTGATCTGGAGGTGTGAATTCCAAGAGAATAGAAGCTGCTTTTGTAGTTAGCAAGCCATTCACAGTCTTTGTTTAATCCAGAGTTGATTGTGTCAAACTTAAAGATGAACTGTAGCTCAGCAGTTTCTCTTTGAAGTCTGGTCCTGAAGTTTTTTTGCTGCAGGATGGCTACTTTTAGATCTGCAATTGTGTGTCCAGGAAGATTGAAGTGTTCCCCTACAGGTTTTTGTATGTTGCCATTCCTAATATCAGATTTGTGTCCATTGATTCTTTTACGTAGGGACTGTCCTGTTTGGCCGATGTATATAGCAGTGGGGCATTGTTGGCACATGATGGCATATATTACGTTGGTGGATGTGCAGGAGAATGTACCAGTGACAGTATGGCTGGTCTGGTTAGGTCCTGTGATGGTGTTGCTGGTGTATATATGTGGGCAGAGTTGGCACCGAGGTTTGTTGCAAGGATTGGTTCCTGAGTTCGAGTTATTATGGTGCGGTGTGTAGTTGCTGGTGAGAATATGCTTCAGGTTGGCGGGTTGTCTGTGGGCAAGGACCGGCCTACCTCCCAAGGCCTGTGAGAGCGAGGGGTCATTGTCCAGGATGGGCTGAAGATCACTAATGATGCGTTGGAGAGGTTTTAGCTGGGGACTGTAGGTGATGGCCAGTGGTGTTCTGTTGGTTTCTTTCTTGGGCTTGTCCCGTAGCAGGAGGCTTCTGGGTACACGTCTGGCTCTGTCAATCTGTCTCCTCACTTCCTCGTGTGGGTATCGCAGTTTACAGAATGCTTGTTGAAGGTCTTGTAGGTGTAGGTCTCTGTCTGAGGGGTTGGAGCATATGCGGTTGTACCTCAGTGCTTGGCTGTAAACAATGGATCGTGTGGTGTGTCCGGGATGGAAACTGGAGGCATGCAGGTAAGTATAGCGGTCGGTAGGTTTTCTGTATAGGGTGGTATTGATATGACCGTCACTTATTTGTATCGTGGTGTCCAGGAAATGGACCTCCCGTGTAGATTGGTCCATGCTGAGGTTGATGGTGGGGTGGAAGCTGTTGAAATCATGGTGAAATTCTTCCAGAGTCTCCTTCCCATGGGTCCAGATGATGAAGATGTCATCGATGTAGCGTAGGTAGAGAAGGGGTGTAAGTGGACGAGAGCTGAGGAAGCGTTGTTCCAGGTCAGCCATAAAAATGTTGGCGTATTGTGGGGCCATGCGGGTGCCCATAGCAGTGCCACTGGTCTGGAGGTATATGTTGTCACCAAATCTGAAATAGTTGTGTGTGAGGATAAATTCACAGAGTTCAGCCACCAGTTGTGCTGTGGCATCATCAGGAATACTGTTCCTGACAGCTTGTACTCCATCTGCATGTGGGATGTTTGTGTAGAGAGCCTCTACATCCATGGTGGCTAGGATGGTGTTTTCTGGAAGATCACCTATGCATTGTAGTTTTCTCAGGAAATCCGTAGTGTCACGAAGGTAACTGGGAGTGCTGGTGGCGTAGGGTCTGAGCAGAGAGTCCACATAGCCAGACAGTCCTTCAGTAAGAGTGCCAATGCCCGAGATGATGGGGCGTCCGGGATTTCCAGGTTTGTGGATCTTGGGTAATAGATAGAACAACCCTGGTCGGGGCTCTAAAGGTGTGTCGATTTGTTCCTGTGTTTGTTTAGGGAGTGTCCTGAGCAGACGGTGCAGTTTCTTAGTGTATTCCTTAGTGGGATCTGAGGAAAGGGTCCTGTAGAATTTGGTATTGGAGAGTTGTCTGGCAGCCTCCTTTAGGTAGTCAGGCCTGTTCATGATGACAACAGCACCTCCTTTGTCAGCCTCTTGTTTCGGTCTTCACCAAGAAGTCTGAAGGAATGCCTAACATAGTGAATGTTTATGGGAAGGGGGGAGGTTTAGAAGGTAAACTAGCAGGCAAGCCAGCACATTCACAATCCAGACAGGTAGAAAACATCCAGGATGAAAGCTTAATAATTTTACAATGGTTGATAACCTGCCAAGCTCAACTGCAATCTCTCTTGAACAAAGATCCCACTTTTTTTCTAGCACAGCACACAGGATAAGCATTTTCAAACTCACTCCTTTTCCATAGAGACAAATCTTGAGTAGTAAAGCCCTGGGGCAGAACTGTACTCACAGACAGTTCAACCTAGACTGGAGCATGAACTTTGTCCCAAATTAGTTATTCCCTGGGTTTCTCCCTGCAGGAAATCCTGCTCATCACTCTGGTTCTCTCTTACCTACTTCTCTCAGAGTTGGAGATTTCTTCCCTACCATTTTAATCTCCCCGAGCTGCAAGTAATGAGACCTACTCTGGTTTAACTGCTAGGATAAGGCAGCAAAATAATTCTTCACTTCCACAAAGGTGCCAAAAGCTTTTCATTCACAGTACTCTTTCCATAAACAATACCTGGCTACATATTCTGTGCACAAACATTTATTGAAGAAGAGTTTCTTGTGGCACTGAGTAATTTCTGTATTGTAGACTTGCCAATAAAACGAGACTCAGACAAATTCTAGAATCTCAGTCACAAAGAGAAGAGTACTCTCACAGGATCATTCCAAGCAGATCAGATAACATGAAGGAAAGGACCACAGGATATGGGAGTTACTGAGACCTCCTTGATATGAAGATGAGAAGGAGAATGAAACAGATGCACGGAGAGGGGTGATAATAATCAAATCTTCCTTTGTGGTATCCTGTTGCTAGTACTGGTGTGACTATGTATTGATAAAATGATGTAATTATAGAGGCACCAGTCATAAGTCCATATGAAGGATGAGTTTTGCCCTTGAACCAAGATTTCAACCTCTTTATATTATGGATGAAGAATATGGTGTCTTCTCTCCAAAGTTCCACGACTTACTCTTTGAGTAGAGAATTAATTTTCTGAGAGAGTACAGGTAAATCGGCTTCTGAGTTTAAATGAATTTTAAATGGATCCTGTAAGAAATGCAGCACTTCTCAGGGCCTTTTCTACCCAAAATAATTTAAAATAAACCAAGTTATGGCATCCAGATAATCTTACCTCTCTCCTGTAATGATGCCATGAAATAAACAATCAACTAATCTAATTAGATTAACCTAACCTGGATCAATAAACTATTGTACTTATATAGTTACTAGAAGATTTACCTGGCACTGATTGGGTCTTTAGCTCAAATAAGTTTTGTTTTTCTTCATTTAAATCATTGTTTTGGAGTGGGAATGAGGGGTTCGGTGTGCTGGCC